CCTCCTCCTCCTCCTCCTCCTCCTCCCCCTCCTGCTCCTACTCCTGCTCCTCCTCCTCCTGCTCCTCCTCCTCCTCCTCCTCCTCCTCTCCGCTCCCACGCGCCGCCCCCGGAGAACTGCGGTGGCGCACGTCCGGGGCGTCCTGGTCCGCGAGCGCGTGGAACGCCTGCCGTGGGGCGAAGCGGGCCCCTCCCCCCAGACTCGCGGGCGGCGAAGGCATCCAGATGTCCATGCCTTCGGGGTCTGGATTCCAGGGCGCGATCCCGCGGATACGCGGTCGCACGGGTACTCTGGGTTTCTTTATAAGCGTGGGGGGGTGCGGGGGTGCCCGCCCGACGGGGGTCAACCTCGCCTCGTCGTAGTGCCGCGACGGGGTCGGAGAGCCTTCGGCGCGCGGTGGCTGCCCGCGACGGGGGTGGATGTCGACGCTTATAAAGAAACTAGAACCACGAGCGCGCTTCGCGCGCTTAGGTTCCAGCATGCTCCAGTTGTAGTCTACGAAGCGTTCGGCATCAAAGGGCGTAGATTATCACACGGATCGTGCAACTCAGGAAGCTCCTCCTGCGGCCCTAGAGACGGACTTGGCGTAGCGTCCCCGCGCCCATGTCGGCACACTTCTCACAGGGATCGCGCCCCACAGGGAGCTCCACCTTCGTCCCCAGAGGCAAGGTTCGCATAGAGGCACGCCACTCACTCGGACCGTGCCTCGCAACTAACTGCATTTGCGGCACCATAGGAAAGCTTCATAGCGCCGCCCCGCTCACTTCGGCACCCCTCTCAAACAGGTCGTGGTCCGCAACGAGTTCCACGAACGGCCCCAGAGACAAGGTTCGAAACATGCCCTCCCGCCTACGCCGGCACACCTCTCACACGGATCATGGCCCACAGGGATCTCCACCCACGGCCCCTGAGGCAGGGTTCGCACTGCGCCCCCCACCTCGCCATTGTGGCACACCCCATCACGCGGATCGTGCCCACAAGGAGATAAGCCTAAAAGCCCAGAGACAAGGTTCGCACAACGCCCCCCCCGCCCATGTCGGCACACCTGTCACGCGAATCATGCCCCAGGAGGAGGTTGTTTTATGGCATTAATGGGCAGCTTCGCGCGGCATCCCCCCGCCCATTTCGGAACATGCCTCGGGGGTATCCGAATTATTCGGCATATCCTTCACGCGGATCGTGACCAACAAGGAGTTCAACGCACCCCTGCACGCGGGCTCCGCAGCAACCATCTTTCCGCATTGACCCGTGGCGCGCAATGTATGAAGAGAGACCCGCGATCTGCACTACACATGTCTGCATAGGGATGGGTCCGTCACCAAACCAATTGCTTGCTTACCTATGGCCTTCGGTCCATACCGCCACCGTCCCTGAGTTTTGGACAGAGGATTCTTGGATACCTGTAATTCGGGGTCTCTTGGCATGCTTCTCTGGCGCCTCGTGGAGCGAGTTTTGAAGCTTCTCGTGGCCTGACTTGAGCCCTGCGGGAGCTTCTCGGGGCCTCTTTCGGGGCCCTTGGGGGCCTCTTGGGTGCCTGCTGCGGCCTCGGGGGCGCATTCGTGGCGGAGGGCCCGAATGTTAGGTGGCATTCCCGCTCTTAGACTCCCCTTGAGGCCCTCTTGGGCCGTCTTGGGCGCTTCTTGGACCGTCTTGGGTCTCTCTTGGGCCGTCCTGGGGCCCTCTTGGAGGCCTCTTGGACCGTCTTGGGTCGATTTGTGGGGCCTCTTGGGCTGTTTAGGACGCTGTGAAGACCCAAAGTGCGGACATGTTAAAAGTGCACGATCTCTAGCAGGAGTGGAACAATTTTGGCATCCTGGGGCCATCTCGGGGTGCATGTTGGAGCCTTCTTGGAAAGTTTTCGGGGCCTCTTGAACTGTCGTCACAACATGTGGGCGCCTTTGGCCCTGTCAGGCCGCTCTGATCACTTATGGTGGCCTCCCGAGCTGTTACGAGAAGAGGGGGGAGGCCCAGGAGGCCCCAGAAGGGGTCAAACATGTCGTGGGCCAAAGGACGGGGGGGAAGAAGACATCTGGGAGAATGTCCTGGCCTGGGCCCCGGGCCCCCCCCCGGGCCCCAGCACAATCTATATACACGTATATGTATATGTATATATATATGTATGTATATATATAGACACACACACATACATACAAGATGAGCTATCTGTAGCACATCAACATATATATACACATATATATATATATATAAATATATATGTGTGTGTACGCACATGTAAATAGATATATGGGCGGGCGGAGCGGCGGGCGGAGCACGTGCGGTCACGTGGGGGACGCCAGTCTCAGGAGGGGGAGGCGGTCTTGGGCACGCTGTCTGACACAAGAGAGTCGCGCGCTGTCACGCCAGCAGGCGGAGCACGTGACACCATGAGTAGGGGAACAACAAGTGACATGAACATAACACATCGGAGGTCCAGGCGGATTTCTCGGATCCGCGCTGGACCCCCCTCCCTGGCGAGGCGCCGCCAGGGGGGTCCAGCGCCGTTCCGAGAAATCCGCGCGGACCTCAGAGTTTTTATGTTTATGTCACTTGTTGTTCCCCTAATGAGGGGGAGGAGGTCTTGAGCACGCTGTCTTGAATGATACTTCATGCGCTGTCACGCCAGCAGGCGGAACACGTGACACGTGCATTCGCTCGAAGCTCCTCGAAGCAGCGTCCATATATATATATATATATATGTATATATATGAACAAGAAAACTGGGAATGCGTTCTGCGCGGGGGATCCGCGAACAAAAACGCCTCCTATCCGCAGGGTCGCGGCCCAGGGGCCCCGTCCGCGAGGCCGCTGATGCGGATGTGGCTTCCACCCAGGACTGACCCTCACCCTCCCAGCATAACGAGCGCTGGCCGTGCGAGCCACCGTCTGTTCCCCCCTTGACGCCCTTGAAGTCGCCATACATATCGGGCCCACGCCGAATCAATACTTGTCCCCGCCCTTGGCGGTGTGCACGGAGTCGTACTTGTCCATGTCTGCTCCCATGTAGTCGTTGGCCTGCGAGCCCTTCGCAGCGGGAGCCTTTGGCCGCAGCTTCCACAGTGGAATATACCCCATCCGAACCGCCTCGTGCAGGGACATGATGAGCAGCTGCGAGAGCTCGTATGGCTTGAGGGGCTGCATATTGAGGCTCGTGAAATAATCGGCCCAGCTGTTGAGGCCCTCGCCATGAATAGTCCTCCTCACGTGCTCCTGGAGCAGCTCGATCTCTGACGGCCTCGGGACGCCCTTCTGTTCCTCGTACTCTTCCCAGCGCATGTCCGTGCAGCTCTTGCCCGGTCCGCCCTGCAGCTCCGCCTCGATGATGTCCGCGGAGGCGGCCTCGGGGCCGTACCTCTTGAACACGACGTGGCGCAGGAACCACACGTTGAAGCACAAAAGCCGGATCGACACGACGCTCGCCTTGAAGGTCCTCTCCAGACGCGCCTCGGCACTGATGCTGTAGTCGGCAAGCGACGGGTACTTGTCCAGGGCCCAGCTGGCGTTGCGGGCCAGGGTCTCCTTCAAGACCGCCGCAGAGACGTCGTCCCACGTGTGCCTCTTCGAGACGGCGAAGAGGCAGAGGAACTCCCCAATGTTCGGGCAATACTTCTTGGAGCGGGCCTGTCGGCTACACGCAAGAGGGACCTTCGGTGCGCGGCTTTTTGGGGGCCGCGGGAGGACCAAACACGAGCGCGCCAGAGGCTGCTACCGCAACACGTTCGACGGTCGGGTGACCCCATTGGGATCGCACCAAAGGTCACTCCAGCGAAAAATCACTCTTACGAGTAATCGAGCCTCCTCCGAGCGCATGAACGCTCCGATCCTCGTCTCCACCCGCTCTTGCAGGCTCGGGTACTGCCGCAGGATCGACAGCAAGAGGTGGTGGAAACCCATGTAACCCTCGAGCGCCTTTTTTTTGCGGGGGACCAAACACAGGTACCGGCACTGCTACGCCCCAGACCTTCCCTGCGATGCGCTCCGACCAGCATTGCTGGGATACTCCAGCCGTGGCGACGAGGGCTCTCCAGGACCTGCAGTGGCATCGGCTTCTCATCCGCCGATGAACTGAGACGAATTCAAGACGAAGATCAAGTCGGGCAGGGATAAATCGAGAACATCTGAGATCCGGCGGCTCTGGAAGATGTCTCGGGCGGCACGGCCTTCTCAGGGCATTCCGAAACGCTTCCAGAGCGTTGTGGAACGCTCTGGAACGGATTCGTCCTCGTTCGAGCCCCGTCCGATGAGCCTTGGTGGACAGGTGGAGGTCCCCCTTCATGAGCTGCACGGTCTGCAGGTTCATGAGCTTCGGCAGGACCTCCAGACAGACAGTAATCAACCCGAACATAAACTTCGGGAGCTCCACGCGGACCTCATGGATCCGCGCTGGACTCCCGGCGCTCGAAGCGACGCCAGCGCCGATACAGGGAATTCGCGCGGAGCTCCGAACGTTTATGCTTGAGAAGTTTTCGAACGATAAAAAACGGGATGCGTACGATTCGAAGATTGGGTGTTCGTTTTGTGGTTATGTTGTGTATCCGCCTCCATGCCTCTGGGCACGGAGTGAGCGTGTCCTCAGGTCTTTTGTCTAATCCCCTGAGCCTCTGCCCCTACGCCAACAGAGCTTCTGAGGGGCATGGACCCCCCCATTCTGTGCATATTCTGGAATAACTTGTTCGGGCCCAAGAGGGGCCCAAGACGGGCCAAGAGGGCCCCAAGAGGCCCTCAGGAAGGCCCACAACAGGACCCCAAGAGGCGAAGGCCACCAAATTCGCTGACAAAAATTGCCCAATCGCTTCCAAAACTGCCAAGATGGCCCAGGATTGCATCCTAGATGCCCCCAAGACGGCCAAGGTGGCCGCAAGATATCTCCAAGACGATCCAAGATGCAACTCAGATGGCCTGAGATGGCCCCAAGATAGCCCACGACGACCCAAAAGGCCTTCAAGATGGCCCCAGCACGGCCCAAGAGGCTCTCAAGACGGCCCCCACAGGGTCCCGAGACGGCCCAGGAGGCCTTCAAGACGCCCAAGATGGTCTTCAAGACGGCCTCCGATAGCGTCAAGTCTGGCCCGGAACGCCGCAAGACTGCCAAAGAGGCCCCCAAGAAGCGCCCAAAGGCCCCCAAGAGGCCCAAAGGCCTGCAGGAGGCCCCTAAAAGCTCCCAGGAGGGCCCAAGACTGATCATCTGTGTCCTCCTCCTCATTGTTACTCCCTCTCCTCATCCTCCTCTTCCTCCCCCCAGTGTTCCCCGAAGGGCTTCCACAACGGCTGGGGGATCGCATGGTCCAATGGTATGGCCAAACTCTGCCCAAACGTTTGGCCACGTAGGCGAAACCCGGAAGACAGGGCGCGGCGGTGATTCGCCGCAGGCGCCTTCGACAATTGTGCAGTTCTGTATATTGCCAACGTTGGCGACGCTCACCACCAGGGCGTGGCGCGAGGAGGGGGGGGGGCCTTCTCATAGGGCAGAGTGGCCTGTGGGACGCGCCCGAGGCCGTCTGAGAAGCACTCCGACAGCCTCCCCCTGCCTTCCTAAGAATACACATGCCCTCTCAGAAGCCCCCCCTGCCTTCTTAGAAGACCGCCTCCCCTCGCGTCCCCCCCCCCTCTGCGCGCTTCGCCGGCGGCGACGGCAACCGCGGCGTCGGCGACAGACAGCACGAGAAACCCAACCTTGAGACCCCAGGACGTCCACTGATGTTTGGTGTGGGAACGTCACGCTTACCATCGCAAAACCGTCGAAACCCAAGACAGCCAGGGCACCCCAGGGGAAACCAGGGTGTTTTTTTTGGCATGGGACCCCACTAGACGAATCTCAAACCCGACTGCAGGGAAGGACGGCCTGTGAGGTCCAAGGCGGGCCAGACGGGCAGGATGCTGCCTGCGACCAAGCAGACTGGCCTCGGCCATCTCGGTTCCAAGGGAGGCTCCCGTGAGGTCCGACCAGCCTTCACCGCCGCACCTGCTGCGTCATCACCTGCCTTCTTCCACCGCTGCTGCTGCTTCCCCTCTTCCCAGTTCTCCTCCGTCTGTATTGCTCTACGCTCTTCTGCCAGACGAGCCTTCTTCCAGGTCAACGTCTTCGTATTCGGCGTTTCGGCATTCGGCGGATTATTTGGGTGAGAGAGGGGGTTCTGGCTCCTGACCTCTGCTTAATGCGACTGTGTGTAGCAATGCGTTCCGTGGGGGAGAGACTCCACCCGCCTGAAACAGGCGCCTGAAACAGCCCAGATCTTCTCCGGGGGGAGGGGGGGGCGCGAGGGCCCGCGCCGATCGGCAAACCAGTGAACAAGAACACGATCACCAGCGCTGCTGTTGCTTGCTCCCATTCCTGTCACTCCTCCCCGTTCTGCTTTGTTCTACGCTCTTCTGCCACACCGGCCTTCTTCCAGGTGAGCGTTTTCTTATTCGGCGTTTCGACATTGGGCGGGGGAGGGGGAGAGGCGGGGGGGGTCTGGCTCAGGACCTCTGCTTAAGGCGGCTGTTTGCAGCAGTGCGTCCCATGGAGGAGGGACACCAACTGCCTGAAGCAGGCGCCAGAAACAGCCAGGATCTACTCCAGGGGAAGGGACGGGCGGGGGGAGGAGGTGCGAGAGGGCCCGCGCCGAGCGGCAAACCATCGAATGATACGATCGCCAACACTGCTGCTGCTCCCCCTCGTCCCACTCCTCCTCCGTATGTCTTGCCCTGCAGTCGGCCCGTATAATGAGGACGAAAGATAGGGATGCAAGGGCCTTGGAAGACGATGTTGAAGCTGTTCGAGCGGGGCACGGCCAAGGAGAGAGGCCAAGGAGGGCCCGAGGAGGCAAGGATGAAAGGGTAAGTGCCCTTGGGGGAATTGCCCATCCTTAGTATGCGCGTTGACTGTACGCTCTTCTGCTAGACCAGCCTTCCTCCATCGCTGTTGTTGCTGCCCCTCTTCCCACTCCTTCTCCTTATGTCTTACTCTACGCTCATCTGGCAGATCAGCTTTCTTCCAGCGCTGGAACAAGGAAGGGCGACACCAGCACCACCAGGGCGAGGACACGCAAAGAGGCAAAAGGGGGCTTCCCTGGTGGTGGCCACTCTCGCTCGAGACAATCCCCAGACTCGGGCTCGGGGAGGCATCGTGGACCTCTTCGCTGGAGGTGGGCCACCCAATGGTGTTGGTATCGCTTGCCAGACCCCCCACGCGAGGTCTCAACCCGTTCCCTTGGACTGGTTGTTCATCCCGACCCCTCGAGGTCGAGAATGGCAAAAAACAAACAACAACGAAAAACCTGCCGTCGTGATTCCCGTCATGACTTTCGAGGGGGGCCTGGCCTTAGATGATCTTAAAAACGCTGGGGACGTTTTTTTTCCGTTTTGGAGATCGACGTTTTGTTTCTGTGTTTGGAGCCGTGTTTTTTTCTGTTTTGGATTTGCGCCTTGCCGTTTTCGGTTCGTTCTGCGATACGTGTTTTAATCGTTTTCACCTGCCGTTTTCTGTACGTTTTCGTCGCCGTTTTTGCGAACCTCGCAAAGCCCGTGCCGTTTTTTTCTGTTTTGGTTCTCCGTTTTGTGTGCGTTTTCGCCCGCCGTTTTTGTTACGTTTTGGTCCTGGTCACATCGTTTTGGGCACGTTTTGCGTTACCGTTTCTGTTCTGTTTTGGTCGACCGCAACGCCAGAAGCTGAAAACGGAAAAAAACGCCCCCAGCGTCTTCAAGAACAGCTAAGGCGGCCTGGCCCCCTCCCCCCCCTCCGGACAGCGCCGATGCCGCTCCGCCGTCCGAGCCTCCAGGCCGAAGGCGACGTCGGCCTCCGCGAGAATCGCGGGCGGCCGCGGGGAGGAGGAGGAGGAGGAGGAGGAGGAGGAGGAGGAGGAGGAGGAGGAGGAGGAGGAGGAGGAGGAGGAGGAGGAGGAGGAGGAGGGGAAGGGGGGGGGGAGGGGATGGGGGAGGGGATGGGGGAGGGGATGGGAAGAGGAGGAGGAGGAGGAGGAGGAGGAGGCCTCCGTGAGGCTCGCGGGCGGCCGCGGCGGCGGCACGCCGCCCTCGGGGTCCGCGGGGCCCCGCGCCGCCGCCCCGGCGGCCGCGGGCCTCTGGCTCCGCGCGGCCTCGGGGGGCAGAGGTTCTCGAGGCCCTTCCAAGGTGGGGTCGTGTTCCCCTGCCCCTTCACAGCTCCTCCCCCTCCTCCCTCCCCCTCCTCCTCCTCCTCCTCCACCTCCTCCTCCACCTCCTCCTGCTCGCGCTCGTGCTCCTCCTCCTCCTCCTCCTCTCCTCCTCCTCCTCTATGCTTCCTCCTCCTCCTCTGCCCCTTCCTCCTCCTCCTCCTCTTCCTCCGCCTCCCCGTCCTTCTCATGATCATTGATCATGATCATGCCCATGATCATCATGATCATCATGATCATCGCCATCACCACCACCACAAACGACAACAACAACAACAACAACAACAACAACAACAACAACAACGACAACAACAACACCAACACCAACACCAACACCAACACCAACACCAACACCAACAACAACAACAACAACAACAACAACAACAACAACAACAACAACAACAACAACAACAACAACAATTACTAGCACGTGGGGACACTCCGTTCTCACCAGTGCCAGGGTTTTCATAGGAGGCGGGCAATACCCCCACTTTGTGGGGGGGCCGGTTCAAGCTCTACCAAATTTCCAAACGACTCTTCGCCACCACCCACACCCAGCTTCCCGCCCTATGACGTTCGGACACTTCACTTCGTGGCATGCGGACGACCGTGGCTACTATTCAGGGCCCCGCGGCCGACGACGACGGCGTGCGCGCGCGAAGAAAAAACGAATGTGTCCCGCATGGTATTATTTGACAGGGATGATGGCCCTGGCAGGTGCGCAACCGTTGTTGCAGAAGTTCGAAAAAGTTGCTCGCAAAAGCCCGTTTGACAGAAATGTTTAAAAAGTGTTGGGTTTCCTACGAATCCGCAAGAGCGCGCGGGATGAAGTTTTGACAATTTGTTTTTTAAAAACCATTGGCGATGTTTTTAAAAATCGCTACGAAAACTAAGGTTTTGGAAGGATTTCGTCTTGCGCGCGCGAATGTCCACTTTACCTTATTTTTTGCAATGGATTCTTGAAATGTGGTTATGTTAGAACAAGAAATGTCATTCTCTGGATCACATCGTTTTGTCAAGGGCTTTCGCTCGAAAATGATGAAAACAAGGCTGCGGCCTAGGCGCGGCGAGGGGGCCGTGCACCAGGGGCCCCAACAATAATTATTCTTTAGAAGTAATAATGTTCAACAACAACAACAACAACAACAACAACAACAACAACACCAACACCAACAGCAACAACAACAACAACAACAACAACAATAACAATAACAACAACAACAACAACAACAACAGCAGCAGCAACAGCAACAGCAACAGCAACAGCAACAACAACAACAACATCAACAACCACAACAACAACAACATCATCCTGTTCCTCTTCCTCCTCCTCCTCGTCTTACGGAACAAGGTCAGCGGCATCGGCCGTAAGGCCTTCGCAATAGAGGCTCCCCAGATGGGGTCTGAGTAGCTGGGGTCGGAAGATCGCGCCGCATCGTCGATGCATCACCAGTGCATCGGCGATGCATAATCGACATAGGCGTAGAGAATCAGGCCCCACATCGAACTGCATCGCCGATGCATCGCCGATGCGGCGCGATACTCAAAAGTCAGGCAACATGACTTAGATGGCATTTCTCTCCTGCCCATCAGCCCCTCCTCCGCCTTCTCGAACATCGTCGGGCTGAAATTCAAAATAAAGGAATCCGAATTTGCGTGGAGCCGGCATGCTCCGTTCGGATCTCACCACGCCCCCCCTCCACCATGTAATCAAACTTGCCAGAATCGAAGCGGACAAACGGCCTCAGACGCTACCGCTACTCCGCGGACCTCTCACGGGGGACTTCCTGACATGAATCTCGAGGCGAACCCAGCCGTGGCGAAAAAGCTGCAACGGGCCGCTTCCTCAAGTGCGGGTGGTAATGGGTGGTGACCTAAATGGGGGGCGAAGAAAAAGACTCTAAACGGGCAAATTAGGGCCTCCTTTGGAGCCAGCAGGTTTCCAAAAGGGGCTCTAAGGTGCCCCGAAAGGGCCACTTCTTCACCCCCCATGTGGATCACTCCCCATTACCACCCGCCCGATCCTCATCTGAGGCCTGCTGCTTCCGGTACTCGTCCAGGCTGATGATCTTCTTGCCCTGGCGCTCGACTTCCCGCAGCTGGGCGCGCAAGTCGTACCTGGAGACGAAGGAGGCGGGAACCGTGACCAAGACCGAGCAGGGAAACGTCGCACCGATCTTGGAAACCGTCCATCCTGGCGAGCGTCGACGCATGGATCACCCTCGCGAATCGGCGACGGCCGGCATGGACCATGACCGGGATCGACGTCGACAAGATCCCGAGACAACTTGGTCATAGTCAGCGCGTTTCTTAATCGGGAGCTTTGAGACGGGGGTCAATGCAAACGGGGGTCAACCAGACCGCCCGATGTTGTAGGATCCTGCAGGGCCAGGGTCGCATTGACCCGGGCTTGGGTGCAGGGACTTGCAGGATCCTTCGCATTGACCCGGGTTTGGGTGCAGGATCTTGCAGGATTCTGCAAGGCCTGGTTGACCCGGGTCTGGATTGACCCGGGTCAGAGGATCCCCGCCTTAAGAAGGAAGGGCGCAACACAAATAAACTCTTGGCGCCCCGCGCGGACTTCTTGGATCTGCGCTGCACCCCGCTCCTTGGCCGGCGGAGCGCGCCAGGGGCGGCGCCGCAGGCGCCGCTGGGGGGGGTCCAGCGCGGATCCAAGAGATCCGCGCGGAGCGCCAAGAGTTATAGTGTTTATGTCATTGTTCGCATCGATCCCCAGGCGCGAGTTCGAGAAACCTGTGCGGAGCGCCCAACGTTTATGTTTGTGGCATGTGTTCTTCTTCTGATGCTTTCCCTCTCGAGTACCTGGCGCTGCCCGCCTGGGTACCGTAGCTGCGGGTCTGCTTCTCGACGCGGCCGTCGCCTAACTCCAGGAAGCACTGCGCGAGGTACGGCAGGGCCCGCCTGAAGTGGCCGGCGTCGATAGCCAGCGGGAGCCAGAACTCGACCTCGGCAAACAACTGCTGGAAAGACTTTGCTAGAACGATTGCGTGCTACTAAACCCGATTGACGGGCAACTGTTGAGCCCGATCAACCGTGATTGAGCCCAAGATTAAGCCAGATTGCGCGCCAAACAAAACCAACTTAAGCGGAAGTTGACAATCTACCAGCACGAATTCTAAAGTTAGCCTTCCAGGAGTTGCATCCTACCAACCTTCTCCTTCCACACGCCCGAACGGATCCCGAAGTCCTTGAAGGCCTCCTTCGACAGCAGATCGAAAGAGCACCTAAACACCTTGCGGCCTGTGTCAAGCTCTGGCACGATCTCGAGACCAACGCCGAGCACGTCCTCCTTGTAGGAAAGGCGGGTCACGAAACAACAGCGGTTGTCGTACCCTTTCTCCTTGATGCGGTCGGTGAGCTCTCGGAATTTGGCCAAGTCGATGATCGATTTGTAAGGGTATTTGTCTCGTTCTGCCTTGATCTTCTGATGGACTTCTTCTATGAATTTCCTGCGCGCCTCCACCTTCTTGCTGACGCGCTCGTAATACTCTTTGCCCCAATGTTCGACCTGCTTCTGCAGGACGGCCAACAGTTTCTGCTCCTGCGAGCTTAGTCGCTTCGCCGCCGTCTCCCCCCTCTCGAACGCAAGCTGCCTGTCGGTGAGCTGCTTGTACTCCTCAGAGATCCTCTGAACGGCCCAGCCCTCGATGAGGCTAAAATCAAAACTCTCCTCCCTCGCCTCCGCTGACGGCGGCGGTGGCGGGTCCGTCCGATAGTCGATCGTCACATCGGGGTACTCCGACTCGGCGTCCTGGATGATGCGGTTGTTCTTGATGAGGAAGAATGTGTCCTCCTCTCGGCGACTCCGAACGGCGACCCTTTGCACATGGCGTGGTCTGCGACGCACACCCGTGGGGGGCGGGCGACGACCTCGACAGAGACCTCTGCCGCGCCCCGAGGAGGCCCGACGAGGGCAGCGTGGTGCCCCCCGAAAGCCCCAGCGACGCAGATCGCAAACCACACCCAGGCGCACCCACACCCCTTGCAGTCGCCGATCTAGGCGGTGCCCCCGGGGGGGAGGTGAGAAGGGGCGGGACTTCTCAGAAGGCTCAGAAGTCCCCCGGACTTCTGAGATGCTCTCTAAGCCTTCCCCGAAGACACACACAACCTCTGAGAAGGCGAAAGGGCTTCTGAGAAGTCCCGCCGCCTTCTGAGAAGGCCTTATCCTTCTCACTTCCCTCCCTCGCGTGCCGCCGCCGATCCTCGTCGAATGCCTTCTCGAGCTGCAGGCTCATGGCCGTGCTGCCGCCCGGGGCGGCCGCCTCCCGCGAAGCGCGGGCGGGCGCGCGCCCGCACGCGCCGGGGTCGAGCACCCGGAGGCTGTCCCTGAAGAAGTGCTCGCGCAGCTCCCGGGTGTACTTGTCCATGGTGAGCTCGATCCTCTGAGATGCAAGCTCTGTGGCCGCTGCGGTGGTAGTCACTGCTCTCTGCTCGCGCAGTTACAGAACAACGGGGGGGGGGAACAAAAAACAAAAAACGACTGTGGTCGTCGTGCGACCGTAGGGAACGCAGACGACAGAACGACAGGGCGCTTCTGGCCACGGTGGGTCTAGGTCAAATGCACGTGCCACGGCAGAAACCGACAAGCGGGCCCGCAACTACGGGCCCCTCCTGAACCCAAATCGGCTCCTTTCAGCGTCTCGACCGCATACCCAAACAGGCCTGAATCACGATCGGGTAAGCTACCTGGTGGTTGGCCTGAGACGCAGGCGGTCCGCACAGGACCGCCGCGCCGCTGAACCACCGCTTGGGGCTGCGAAGTGGTGGTCAGGGACTTCGGAGTCGTATTCTGAGGATTCGGACTGTTGCTGCGCACTTGGTTTAAGTCGGGCCTGTCCCCCTACAGGGGGATTTTCGACGAAGAATAGAAGATACTCCAAAAATAATCCAAAAATGGTCCAAAAATAGTATGGTAACTATTTTTCAAATATTTTTTGACATCCTTTGAGCATTTTTGGAGTATCTTTCATTTTTCGTCGAAAATCCCCCTGTAGGGGGACAGGTCCGGCTTAACTCTTGGTCCATCACCAGCACCCCAGCCACGTGTTCGAGATCCGCAATCCTGCACCCGCTCCGCGGGCGGGGCTCGGTGCCGGCATCGTCCACCGACAGGGCCTTGCGCAGCACCCACACGGTCACGCGATCTCCGCGCCTGTAGACGCTGCGCCTGTACCTGAGGAGGCAGGCACTGTACGGGTGCCGCTGCTCTCTGGGCATCTCCCAGGGTACGTCCTGACGAGGATTTCGGGGCGGATCGGGTCGTGGCGACGAGTGCCAGGAGGCCAACATAGGAGAAGCAACACCATAAACATAAAACTGTTGGCGCTCCGCGCGGACTTCTTGGGCCCGCGCTGGATTACCCCTCCCTGGCGCGCGGAGCGCGCCAGAGGCGGCGCCGGGGGGGGGGGCCCAGCGCGGACGCAAGGAATCCGCGCGGAGCTCCCGCTTTTCTTCTTCGACAAACAAAAACAAGAAGGCGAAGCCGAGTGGATGGTGGCAAAAACGGCACTTCCTCCACCCCCGAGTGCCATCCGTCGTCCGCCACGCCCTCCGCGAAGGCTCCGACCCCGAGCCGCTCCCTGGGCAGGAAGCCCACAAGGTCGTCGGACAGCGCCACGCGCAGGCCGAATCGCGCCGCGTCCACCACGATGCCCTCGTGCTTGCCGCCGACCTGCAGGTCGTCGAAGCTCAGGCGCGGCTGCAAGGAGAGCCTCACACGCTTTCGGGCCATGTCCACCTCCAGAAGAAGCGTCTTCACAATGAAGCATTCAAAACATTCCGATGGTCCGCGCGGACCTCTTGGATAGGCGCAGAGCCCCTTCCTTGGGCGCGTCAGACCCGGAGGCGGTAAACAAGCGGCAACCCGAAACGGTTCTGGAACTCGCAGGTCCAACGGGCCAGAGGCGTGTTAAAAATTCTTGTAACTGGATATGAATATTCTAGTTCGCGCGCGCTCTGGGCCGCGACGGAAAAGCACCCCCACGAACCCCCAGCAAGGTCCTGGCAGACTCGGATCAGAAATGGTTTTGCTACCTGGGGCGGTTTTCGGGGCCCTCCAGATTGCCCCAGGAGCGGCCCAAAGAACATCAAGGCAAGCCTAAATGGCCCACGAATCGGACTCACAGCCCAATTGCGCTCCGAGACGCCCAAAATGGCCCCAAGATGGCGCAACAGGCCCCAAAGGAGGCCCAAGAGCGGTCCAAGAAGACCCCCAAACAAGCCAAAATAACACAATTTCTTGAATTGTCTTGTGTCCGGTTTTTGGGCTTCCGACGCTCCAAGGTGACCCGAGAGGCTCCCAAGACCGCCCCAAGACGGCCCGAGAGGCCCCCAAGAAGGCTCCAACACGGTCCAAGAGGGCCCCAACACAGCCCCAGAGGCGTCCAAGATCGCCCACGAGGGCCTCAAGAAGGCACCAATGAGTGGCCCAAAAGGGGAAACACGAACCACCAATTCGAGCATTCCGACCCAAGAGGCCCCCAGGAGACTCCAAGAGGCTCCTGGAGGCTCCACCAGGCTCCTAGAAGCCTAGACAGAGCCAGGTGTACAAAGTCAGAACCATAATTTGATCATTTTTGTGTGTGTCTGTGTGGCTTTTGTGTCTTTTTGTGTTTTTTCTTATGTTCCGTCCAGTGCTTTTTTTGTGTGTTTTGTTGTGTTTTTTTGTGTGTTGGTTTGTGTTTTTTTTTTTTGTGCGGGAGGAATCTGCCGCGGTCGATCGCCCAGGAGGGTTCGACTGCCGCCCCGGCGCGGATCGCCCCCGCCAAGGTTCCCTTAAAAGGGGGAGCCTAGGCGTGGGCTTTTCCAGCAGGAGACCCCGGTCGCCTGGGAGGGCGCGGGGGGTCCTGGATCGCCTGGGGGGGGTTCCAGGACGGGCCGACTCGCCCTGGGGGAGGTCGGTCCGAGCGGTGGAATCGCCCGGGGAGGTCTCCGCCACTCAGTGCCTGCACGAGTCGCCCGGGTGGTCTCGCGCGGGAACAGCCCTCGCGCATCGCCCAAGGGGGTCCCACGGGGGCGAGGTAGCCCGGGGGGGCGCCTGGGAGGACAGTGCACGGCGCGAAGGGTTCCCGCAAATCTTTCGCGGGACTCTCGCGAATTCGTCGCGGGGGGCCCGGACTCTCGCGAATTTTTAGCGGGAGAAGCAACGGTCTGGACAGTCGCGCAGGAGGGGGGGGGGGCGAAGAATAGAGGAGGGGAGGTCCGATGCCAAAGCCTCGAGGGCCACCTCCAGAGCCAAGCGAATGACGGACAACTGGAGCAGGGAGCGGCTAAGGATAGAGAAGGGTGGCGAAGGATAAGAGTCGGAGGGGAGCGCGAGCGGCGCACCGAGGAGCAGAAGCGGAGAAAAAGGTAGTTCTCTGGTTGATCACGCCAAGAGAAGGGCGAGGTTGATGACGAAATTCAGGCTCTGACTTTGCACATGTAACAACAATGCCCCAGAACTGCCCCCAAAAGGTCCTAAGAAGCCACGAGCGCGCAAACAAACTCCCGCGATGGCACAATCCTGGCCCGCGGAATGAGCGAAACGATGACGTTGCAACCGCAACTGGAACGGGCAAAAAAGGCGACGGAACCGAAAACAAAAACGGCGACTGAAACGGCAAAACGAAACCGGTAAACAGAACGGCCCTCTCGTTTCCAGGGCCATCCAAGGTGAGCGAGGCACCTGGGGGCTTCTTCTCCTCCGAACCTCGGCGATGTACACGGTCACTTCGGGAGGACCCAGGACAGCGTCCCTCTGGCGGCCCAGCTGCTCCAGAACATTGCCGTTGACCATGACGGATGTGTCCCTCTGGCCCTCGGCCGCGCCGCTGCTGGCACTCGGCGGCCAGTGGGGCCGCATGTAGGGCAACACCGGCAGGAGCCCATCTTGAAAGGTCCCGGCCCGCTCCTCGGGAAACGAGAAGGGACCAGCAATTACTGCTACTCTCTGGACCTCCCCGGGGCGCGTTCTGACCAGCATTCCGAGGCGAATCCGGCCGCGGCGAACAGGGCCTCCCGGGAGGCCCCCCAAACACGAGAACGAGGCAATGATGACAGCATCGGGTAGACAGCGACTCACGGCAGCTCTTGGTGGTCCCCTGGCGCCCCATCGCGCGTCCGATGCCGAGATGGCATCGCGAGCTCACGCCGTGGCTTACGCGGGCCGCCAGTGCGGCACGCTACGCTGGAAACGAGAGCGCCTACACGCGCGACCCTGTGCGGACAGCTTGCGCACGGATGCTGGCGCAGTCGAGCCCGCTTCCCTGCGTCGCCCACGTGGCGCTACTGGGCGCTGCCGGCCGCAGCTGGTCGCCAAAAGGACGCCACTTGAGCACGGGGCGCCGCTCGCCGACGTGCCTCCCACAAGCGGACGAGCGGCACCTTGGGCAAGGGCCCGGCCCGCTCCGCGCCGTGCTCGCTCTTGCCCCTGCCCTTGCCCTTGGCCCTCCGCTCGGCCCCGCCGCCGCACAGCAGCCGCCGGTTCCGCGCCGCCAGGCTGCCCGGCGTGGCGTCGACGCTGACGAATGCGCCGAACGCCTGGATGGACATCACGGCCCCGCGCACCTGGGAGGAAAGAACAACGCGAACAGAAGCTGTCGGAGGCACGCGCGGATTTCTGGGATCTGCGCCGGACCCCCCCCCATCTGACACGCCAGGACTGCGCTGGAGGAGCCGCCAAGGATGGGTCCAACGCCGATCCAAGAATGTCGCGCGGACACAAAGATCCAATGTCTCTTAATCCTATCAGCGCGCGGGATTCCCGCAAGTCTCGACCCACTCCCTGGGACTCGCCTTTCAGCCTGAGTCCTTTCCCGACGGTCCCGTGACCCCCGCGAAGGCCTCTCGAGCTCGTCAGGCAAAACAAAAGCCCAAAACCACCGTCGCGTTTTTTCATTAAGCCGGATAACCCCAAAAGGTCTTTAATAACCCCCCGGGCAATTACAGGAAAATTGTAATTTTTTCCGCCTGCTTATTGACGGAATGGGACCCCGACAATAGTTGGAAATGAATTATCGTCGGCGGATGCATGAGAGGTCATGAGAAGTGCTCAAAAATCCCATCGCTCAATAGGGGGAAGGGGGAGGAGGAGGAGGAGGAGGAGGAGGAGGAGGAGGAGGAGGAGGAGGAGGAGGGGGAGGAGGGGGAAAAGGAGGAGGAGGAGGAGGAGGAGGAGGACGGAGGGGAAGGAAGAGGGAGGGGAAGGAGGAGGAAGAGGAGGAGGAGGAGGGACGAGTTTCTATTCCCCGCCGAGAGCTTACGGGGGGGGGGCATCATTAAAGACACTCTGCGGCTATCGCAGACGAAACAAAAAAACGACATAAACATGAATGTTTGCCGCTCCGCGCGGACTTCTCGGATCTGCGCTGCACCGCGCCAGGGGCGGCGCGGTAAGGCGCCGCCGGGGGGGCCCAGCGCAGATCCAAGAAATCCGCGCGGGGCGCCAGCATCTTAGATGTGTATGGCGTTTTTTCCTCTTCGATATCTGGGGACCTCCGAAAGTGCATGCTCATGCAGCTCGGGGATCTTCTGACCCGGGTCAATCCAGACCCGGGTCAGCCAGGCCTTGCAGAATCCTGCAACATCCTGCACCCAAACCCGGGTCAGTGCGGAGGATCCTGCAAGATCCTGCAGGATCCTGCACCCAAACCCGGGCCAATGGGAGCCTGGCCCTGCAGGATCCTGCAAGGTCGGGGCGCTCTGGCTGACCCCCGTTTGCACTGACCCCCGTCTCGAGGCTCCCGAGCAGCTTCCCTCACTAGGGCACCGGCGCGTTCAGCCTGCACAGCATCTGCAGGACCTGCCAGCTGCCGCCCGCGTCCGCGGGGAGTGCGGGGCCCGCGGCAGGGCCGCGCAGGGAGAGGAGGCTCCTCGAGGCAGAGGGCAACACGTCCGCCCTCGGAATAAGCACCCCGACAAGCGAAGGCGTTGGCCCCAAAAAGGCCCCAAGAGGCCCCCAAGAGGCCCCCAAGACGCCCCAAGAGGCGCCCGAGAGGCCCAAAAGAGGCCCCAAGAGGCCCAAAAACGGCCCCCAGGAGGCCCCAAAACTCGGCCAGCCCACAACGGTGCGACAATATGGGCCGGCGGCATGAGCGAAGCGATTAATAAGCACCCCGACAAGCGAACGCGTTTAGCACACGCACCCTAAGAGAGGGGGGGGCTGTTTGGGGAACGCCCAGGGCCGTATCCCTCAGGGTCGGTGTGTGTTCGTGTTCCTCCCTTGACGCGGGTCCAAGGGGAAACGCATTATAACGGCGCAAAAACTGCCCGGATCTCCGATGCTTCTAAATTTCCTGCATCGCCCTGACCCCTTCGACTTCATATCCGTCCTCATCGTTCCACGAACCTCAGAATTTGTCTGCGAATAATGTGCCGATGTGTCCCTCCCGAGCTCCGCGCGGCGACGCGGTCCCAGGCGCCCGAGCTCGCCTCGCGAGGGTCGCCATGGTGCTCGTCCGGCGCGGCGGCGCCGAGGCCCGAGGGCACCACGTGGAAGGAGTGGCTCAGGGAGCTCGCGGGCCCCGAGACGACGCTGAGCACCTCTCGGAGAGCAACCGACAAGATCCCCAACATGATCGCATCCGTTTAACAAAAATCAGGACGGAGGGCTTTTGGCCGCTCTCGGCCCCTCGGGGCCCTCGCCGGAGCTCGGGGCCGTCATCAACAAGCCGGTCCCGGTGGAGGGGGTCGGGGACTTCAGGAGGAGGAGGAGGAGGAGGAGGAGGAGGAGGAGGAGGAGGAGGAGGAGGATGGGGGGCCGACCCTCGAACCCAGGGGGAACACCGTACCTGTCCCTCCCTTCCCCGCCCGGCGGGGGGGGGGAAGTCCTGGAGGGGGGGGTTGAGGGGGGTCCTGGGTCTAGAGGGAAAAGAACTATGCACATGCACCGATTCTGGCCAGGCCCATCCTGAGCCCAGGATCGGTGCATACGCCCTCCTACCTTGGCCAGGAAGGCATATGCACCGATCCTGGGTCAAGGATGGGCCTTGCCAGGATCGGTGCATGTGCATAGTTCTCTTCGCCCGAGGGTCAGAATGCACTCCCTCCACGTCTGGGTGTCCTGGGGGGAGCACCCCCGCCTGGGGGAAGCTTTCGGCTCCATAGCGTCGGCGTCGTCCTCACCGTCGCCGTCGCCGTCGACGTCCCCGCCGCCGCCGCCGTCGCCGTCGCCGTCGCCTTCGCCATCGCCTTCGCCGCCGCCCTCGCCGTCGTCGGATAGGCAGAACGGGCCGCAAGGCCTTCGCAATTGCATAAGGTCAAAGCTGAGATCTAGTAAGGGTGCGCAATGAGGATGCAAGCCCCTTGGACGCCCAAGGGTGGACCAAAGAGGCAACGATGCAAGGGTACCCTTGCGAAGGTTCTTTCTGAGCTTTTTGGCAATGTCGATCATGAATCTGAACTTTCGGAGCTTCGCGCGGATTTCTGGGATCGTCGCTGGAGCCCCCTGTCGCAGCCCTGGGCGCCGCCCCTGGCGCGCTCCACCTGCCAGGGTCCAGCGCAGATCTCAGCAATCCTTGCGGATCTCCGGAAAGTCCCTTGCCAGGATTTGTTCCTCGGACCTCGAAGCTGCCGCAGCCGCTCGACGCGGCCGCCTGCGAGACCAGATCCCAGCTGGCACTGCCGCCGCTACCGCAGGCGGCGGACGCGACCTCGAAGCGCTCGGCGTCGACGAGCTCGAAGCTGCCCTCGGTGGGGGCGGGGCCGTCGACCAGGACAAAGCTCGTGGACGACGCTGCCGACGGGGGGACCTGGAGGGCGGTCAACTTCTGCCAGGTGAGCTCGCAATCCGCCCTGCTCTCCAGCATGGGCACCAGCTGCGCGGGAACGTCCTTCTTGACGTCATACGCCAAGAACTCGCTGCCCCCGTAGTGCCCGGGCATCGGCTTGTACTTGGTGGGCGGGGGGTGGTCGTAGGGCACGACGGCCTTCTCGTAGCCCAACAACTTAACCTTCTCCATGGGCACGTTCTTGTACAGCACTGCTTTCAAGCCTCTGGGGTGCCCGTCACTCTCGTAGGACCACTCCCCCTTCCTGTGAGTGAGAGGGCCCCTCGAACTCCCGAGCTTGCCATCAATGCCGGCCACAACAATGCTCACGGTGCAATTGCCTGGGTTCACCTCTTCGATGACACCTGCAGCAATGAATTTCTCCCGCTTCTTCACGTACGCATCCGTGCCAGGAGTGTCCTCGGCCTTCAGCTTGCCGCCGCCGTTTTGGGAGTTGGCGAACTGCTCCCATGCTTTTTTGCCGTTCCTCTTGCGCTCGTCCTCCAAATCCTCCTGTGCATCCTTCTTGAGGCCCCGTCTTAGCCAAGGAAACTGCACCTCGTGACCATAGTTGCAGATGTCCAAATCTGAATTGATAGACTTAGTCCCGTTCATGTACGCGTCGTCAGCGACGCCGTGGAAGTGGAACGAGACAACGTCACGAACCTTGAATACTCCTGGCACGCGCCGCAGTGCGTGTCCGCTGGCGAGGGCGGAATTAGAGTTCGATATCTCCATGTAGAGCCTCTGCTGCTTGAAATCGGTCTTGGAATTCAATTGGCTTTCGATCTTGAGCTTAGCGAGCTCGAGCTTCCGCTGCTTCTTCCTCAGCGGAACAACATATTAAACAAAATCAAAACAGATCGCCTCCTGGGCCCCGCCTCCTGCCTTGGCGGCCCCAGTGGTGAGGCGAGCTCTAATCTAGATCAGCCTTCGGCGGCAACTTCTGAAGGTCCTCGAAATGACGACTAACGGCGCACTAGACCAACTGAGTTGTCATTGATTCGCCCAGGCTGCGCCCTGGACTAAGCCGGATTAGGCAGGATCAAAAAGCATTCCACGAAATTGGACTTCTGCCGAATTTGCTCAATTACGACCACGAGCATTAGCCACCGTGCGTTTGAGGCACGAATCGAAGTGTTCTCACGTCCGTAAGCCTCAGGCCTCAGTCCTGAGGACTTTTTAAGGGCCCAGACCCCAGATCCACAAATCTCTTGAGGCGCGTCGTGTGGTCCTGGGGATCCCTGCACCTTCCCCCATATTTTTTTCTGGTCGAAGAGGGATCCGAGACGGGCCACGAGGGTCCGGTCAGTCCCCCAAGACGGTGCGAGAGGGCCCCGAATTGAGGAACAATCGGTCAAAACTTCTGTGAAGACGTCCCAAGAGGCCTCCAAGACGGCCCCGATGAGCAAAAATCGCTGATGCCCGTTAAGTCAGATTTGGGTATTCTCGCCATTTCGCCTTCCCGATGCTCTAAGACAGCTCCAGAAATCCCCAAGGTCGCCCCAAGAGGCCCCCCAAACGGCAGAGCGCTCGGAAAGGCGTCCTAGACGGCCTAAAAGGCACCCAAAACGGAACGCCCCCAAGAGGCCCCTGGGAGGCCCCAAAAGGCCCCCCAAACGCCCCCAAGAGGCACCCAAGGGGGTCCAAACCTGTTCCCAAAAAGCCCCCAAACTGTCCCCAAGAGACCTCCGAAAGCGACCCGAATAGACCTCAAAACGATCTCCAGGGACCCTGCCCATCAAGCACGGTGATGAGATGGGCCTAGGGCTACTAGACACCAGCGTCGATGCTGAATTTGATTTCCCTGGACGAACAAACAATTTGCAATCACGTGCTCCCCCCAGCCCTTGCCAGCGTGAGTGGTTTAGCAAGGTCCCTCTTCGAATCCCTTTCTTCCCCATTCGGGGAAGGGTTTGCCCCCCTCCCCCCCTGGCCCACACCCTTGGGTCTGGAGGGCGGGGGGCGCGGCCAGTCAGAGCGTCCAAGATGGACCCACGAGGTGCCCAGGACGCCCCAAGAGGCCCCAAATGTGCACCCGAGAGGCACCCAAGAGACCTTCAAGAGGCCCCAGGTTCAAGAGGCCCCAGGAGGACACCCAGAGGCCCCCTATACGTCCAAAAGGGCCTCGGCGAGAAGGCCCAAATCATTGACGCGACCCCCTCGCTGGCCGCACTTCGGCTTTTTAGGCGGGGGCCCTACAGTAAGGAGCCCCTTCCCTTTGAACGATCTCTTCCAAGGAGCGCCCCAACATGGCCGCCGAAGCGCCCCAGGGCGCCCCCAGAGGGCTCCGAGAGGTGCCCGGGAAACTCCAAGAGGCTCCCGATAGGCCCCTAAGATGCCCTCCCCACAACTCTGTGGTGACAAGCGTCAAGGCGTGCTGCGCCTGGTCGATGGGTGCGGCGCGCCCCTTCGGGAGCGCCGCTTCGCTAGCAGAGCCCACTGCGGCGCGGCGCGGCCCCTGTGGCAGAGCCCGCCGCGGCGCGCGGCGAGGGGGCAGCGCGCGGGCATGACGCCCCTGGACGCAACGCCACCGTCGCACCCAACACGCGCAACACAGCTGAAGCGGGCCTGCACGCTCAAGCAAAATCCGCGCTCGCCACGCCAGTCCGAGCTTGCACGTGCGATCTCTGCGCCGGGAGCGCGCCCGCGCGCGGACCAGCCCAGCGCGCGCGCGCGCGCCTGTCAATCGAGCCGCGCGCACAAGCAGGACGCGCGCCGCGCGCGTGCGCCTGCCAGCCGCGCCCTACTTCCCGCCGCCCCCCACGCGAATTGTACCCGCGAGCGAGGGAGCTCGTGCGCAAGTCGCAACTCGGTGGCGGCAAGCGCCCGCGCGCGTCGACCCGCGTCAACGGGCGCGGCGCGCCCCCTTGCGCGCGCCATCTCAGCGGCAGGGCCCGCTGCGGCGCGGCGCCGCCTCTGCGGCAGTCCACCGCGGCGCGCGGCTAGGGGCAGCGCGCGGGCATCACGCCCGCAGTTAACCCAACCGCTGCGGCCCACGACGCCAGACACTCAATTCAAGCTGCGCGCGACGGCAGCTGCGCGCGCGGAATCATGGCCCGCGGGCGCCAGCGCGGACGCCAGCGACACCACCTCCGTTGTGGCAGTGCGCTCGAGCTCCGAGCGGTGCAGGTATTCCTTGACTGCCCTGAGCGACTGGCCGCCCGCTCTCAAGATCTCGCTGACGCGGCCAGGCGCCTTGCGGACAGTCTCTGCGCGACCACGCCGCAGACGCTTCGAGGCGGGGCCCAATGGCCCGGGATGCCTGCAGCCCTGGCCGAGGACCTCAGCTGGCGCACAACTAGGGGCACCGCTTGAGCCGCCCGTCCGCCGTCTCGCGACGCAGGCCGACCGCGGGCCGCGCGCCCGCCCGCGCATTGCCCAAGGCAGCCATGGGCGCGGCCACTGGGCACGTCGACGGGCACTCTGTGCACCAGAAGTCTCGCGTTGCCGTGCACGGGCGCGGCGCGTTTTTCCTACTGCTCAGATGCAGCGTGGCACTGGGGCCGCTTGCGGCAAGCAAAGCCTGGGAGGCTTTCGCGCCGATGACAAATCGCAAGAAATTGCCTGCGCGGCGCGCAGCGATCTCCGCGCCCCCCGACGGCGATCTGAGGGAGAAACCGAAACATATTACACGCAGCGCGCAGCGTGTCCGGCCGACCACGCGAGGCAGGAGACGCGAGCGGTCTTCGTGCAAAAGGTAACGCTTCAAGGGGCGCCCCCGCGGGTCGCGCTGCTTGCGCTGGCCGCGTCGCCAGCGAGCGCGCCAGCACGTCGCCCCCGCGCTCGGCGGCGCCGCGCGCAACGCGCTGATGTAATCGCCGAGGGCGCCGACAAGCCTAAAGGCGCACGACCGCGGCCCGCGTCTGGGGCCAGCTCGATGCCCGCGCGGGGCAATCTGGCCCCGGCGAAATGCTACCACAACTTCGCCGCCGCCGCCGCCGTGCCCAGGGGGCGAGGACGAGCCCAGAAGCGCGCGCTGGCTCTCGCGCTAGCGCCACGACTGCGCGTCGCAGGACACCGCCGCGACTTGCCCGCGCTGCAGCGAAGTGTTTGCCTGCGCTCACGCGAACAGCCGCACTTTCGCACTCGGCCATGTTACGTGGCTTTCCGCGGTGTCGCGCCCCTGGCGGACGCCCTGCGCGGCGCGCAAACGTTTGCATCTCGGCGCGGCCCCGCGGGCTCCAGACGGCGGCGGCCCCGCCGGGGGGGGCGCGCTACTGCGCGGCGCGAACCGGCCTCGTGCGCGCGTCGCTTGCCGCCTGCGCTCAGGAGACGGGCGCCTGGAAAACGCGCTTGCGCTCGCGCCGCCTTGCAGGGTGGCGCCGCGGTCGCTCGCGGCAAGCATTGCCCGGGTGGCCTCCTCCGCGCGGCCCCTCCTCGGCGCGCGAGGTGGATGGGTGCAAACATGCGCGCCGCACTGCGCGCAGAGTAGATGCTCGCCAGTGGCCCTGATCCACGGCGGGGGAGTTGCGATCCCGCGCATGAGAGGAAGACATGCGTTTTGTTCGGACGTTTGAAAGTAGGCGCTCGGCGAATTATGGAACGCCCTGGTCGAGCGGCGCCCAGTGCCCCGCCAGCGCGCCGCCCCTGAGACGAAGCCAGGGCGGGGGCAACATCGAACCGGCATGACGCGGGGATCACTGAACATCGGCGGTTCTGGGAGACTGTATCAGACGCCGCAGCGTGCTCAGAGCGTTCCAGAGAGCTCCGAGTGGTTCCGAATCGTTTCTGGGCGATCTACCCGTCCTAACCACGCCTGACCCGCAGGGCCGTGGCTCGCGACAAAAAGAGGCGCCCCAAAAATCATGGGGGGGGGGGGCGGCGCTCTTCCGCGCACCGGGCGACCCGCCGGCGCGACCGCGGCCCGCGGCGAGGGGGGGCGCCCCGGGAAGCCGCGAGCGGCGGCGACTGAGCACGCAAGAGGAAAGGAAGTCAAGGGCCCTAGGGCCACGCAAGGGCCACGAGGAGATGCAGGCGACGAAGGATGGGAAGGCATTGGGCAGAGGGATGAGGAGGGATGGGGGGAGGGCGCGTGGGTTGCGCCATCCATAGAAGGAAAAAAACGCTATAAGCCAGCGCCCTTGATAATAACCCCGGGGGTCTCGCGGGAAACATCGGCGATTTTCCCGGCAAAGGTGATGTTAGCATGTTGATGATGAAGGCGACGAAGATGATGATGATGCTGATCCTGGGCGCCCGCGTTGACTGACCTTGCAGAGCTCGGCGCAATGCAGACTCGAGAGATGTCGAGGCTCGCGGCTTCAACTTGCCTGCGCAAGAGTGGCCCTTGGCGCCCCTGGCCAAGATGCCGCTCTCTTGCGCGCGACCTCAAACCGCTCGCCCACGCATGCTCGGCACCCTTTGGGGCCGCCCTTGTGCGGGAGGCGCTCGGCGCAGGCCTAGGCGGCAGCGCTTGCCTCCTCGAAGGTGGCGCGCTTCGGCTCGATCGCCGCGGGGTCCTTGAAGGGCTTGGCCTTGGCTTGCTCTTGGCGAAGGCCTTGGCCAAGTAGTTGTCGCTGGCCTCCTTGAGCTCGTTGGTCCACTCAATGCCTCGGGCGCGCATCGCGCTGACGCCCGCGGGCGCTTGCCGGCCCTTGCCTCGGATCTCGCGCGGGGCGCACTTGATCCAGCGACTCGCCCACAGGCCGCTGGGCCAGGCATCGGCCTGGAACATCTCGCTGCTCCTCGCAGGGAAGGTCTCGCCAGGGCCAGTGGCGCCGAGCTTGCGAAGGATCCTCGCGGCGGCCTTGCGAGACCACGCGCGGACCCTGCCCGCGATTTGCAAGGAGGAGGGCGGGGCGCACCTCGTTCGGCAGCCCCCAT